CGGGGTGGATATAGCACATCTTATATTTTCCTGGTTAAGGCTGGAGCCATACTACTAAGTGACATATCCCAAGAATGGAAAAACAAGCACCATAATTTCCCAGCAAGCTGGTATTAACTGAGCAGCACCTAAGTGACATAGGTGCTACAGTAAGTAGGGTGTTGGCAGGTGGGAGGGGGAGGGGAGGGCGGGTATATACATACATTATGAGTGAGATGTGCACCATCTGGGGATGGTCACGCTGGAACTCAGACTGGGGGGGGAAGGGCATTTATGAAACCTTAAAATCTGTACCCCATAATATGCCGAAAATAAAAAAATAAAATAAATAAAAAGATTAAAAAAAAATCACTGTGGGGGTGGATTCATGACCAGTATATAAACAGCTGATTATAAAAAGGTCACTAGCACACAAAGGGAGAAGGTCCCTGCCAGGAGAAGAGGCCACTGCGCTGGCACTCTGGGGGCTCGGGACCCTAGCTCGAGCTAGACGATAAAACTCCTTTAATAATTACAGCCTCAGTGGACTCTGTCTCTCTGTCCTGCGGCCTTATAAAATATCAAATATAACAAATGGACCTCAAGAAGGATGCCGAGATCCAGGAATCAATAACGCTGCACTAACAGGACGCCCGATTACTAACCGGAGAGACCATTCACCGAAACCACCCAGGAGGTATCTGTTAAAGCAAACCCGTCTGCGTTTTGTTGTGTTGTTGTTGTGTTGTTGTTTTGAGACAGAGTCTCGCTTTGTCGCCCAGGCTAGAGTGAGTGCCGTGGCGTCAGCCTCGCTCACGGCAACCTCAAACTCCTGGCTCAGGCGATCCTCCTGCCTCAGCCTCCCAGGCTGGGATGACAGGCATGCGCCACCCATGCCCGGCTAACTTTTCTACATGTATTTTAGTTGGCGATTAATTTTCCTTCTTTTTTTTTTTTAGTAGAGACGGGGGTGGTTCGCTCTTGCTCAGGCTGGTCTCGAACTCCTGACTTGAGAGCGATCCCGCCCCGAGCCTCAGAGTGCCTGGGATGACGGGCGTGAGCCACCGCGCCGGCCAAGACCGTCTTAATAAGAACCCAACGCCCTATCTATCAGTCAACGTGACCGGTAGTTAAAATAAGACTCCACTTTTAGGAAAAGTTAGGTTGGGAGGAAGTGGTCTGGTACGATCGGCAAGCTGACTTCTGAGACAGCAAGACAGAAAAACAACTCCTCCAAATCGTCTTCGTGTAGGGAGGTTTTTACAGCCAGGCAGCAGAATTTTTCAGAAACTGGTTTGGAGCCTTCACCCAGATGGAAGAGACTGCCGGTCCCTTTGAGAAGGTGCGTTTGAAGGCCCCTAATTCCTACTCGTGGGCACAGAGGGTCTGCTAAGGCCCCCATGCAAACCTGCTGCAGAGCATGATCAAGGTGAATTAGTATCCCCGCACAGGGTCGACACGAATGTATCTAATTAAAGTCAGAAGAAAGCAACTGTAACGAAGAATGAGATCTGCAGGTAAACTCGCCTCTGGGGCTCTCGTTGATTCCAGAATCTGAGATGGGGAATTTTTAGCCTGGACAAGCGCTCCAAATTAACGACCTTGGGTGTTTAAGGATGTCTATGAATATTCAGCAACTTGAAGCCCGCAGCCCTGTGCTAATTCGTTCTGTCTTTCCAGAGGGACGGCCAAAAAAGCAAGTGCTTTTTACACGTCACTTCCCATAAAACCCAGCAGGGCCGGCTAAAGACGAGGCTTAAAACCTGAACCGTAAGACCTGAAGCCTGCGTCAAAACTACCTGTTTCCCGAACAAAAGACAGGGTCTTATATTGATTTTTCTCAAGAAGACACCCTAGGTATTGCAGGGATGTGCTACTTTTTTTTTTTTTGAGTACGGCACACCATCTACATTTATAAAATAGAGTGAAGTCTCTTCTTCTGGAACATCATCCTCACTCTCCAGACCCCGAATCCACCTGAATGTCTTCAGGTCTGTTTTTAGAGCAACTGGCCCCGATCCGTCTCTCGTGAGCACTAGATCCACTGATGGGCAGATGAGAAGCCTGCGTCGTGTTGCTTCCGCTCCAACACACGATGGTGTGCAGATGCGCTGCGCAGCCACGCCCGTTCACTGGCTGGATTTTCGATAGCCACGCCACAAGGCATTCAAAGGCTAGCTGGATTTTCATAGGCCACGCCCGTCAACCAGGGCTGATTTTTCATAGACGCATCACCAGCTCTACACCCACCACGGCTGCATTTTTCATAGCCACGCCCAGTCACTAGGTGGCATTTACATGGCACGGCCACCACTAGGGCTGATTTCATAGCCACGCCTATCACTAGGGCTGAATTCATAGCCACGGCCACACTTAGGGCTGATTTCATGGCCACGCCTATCACTAGGGCTGATTTTCATAGCCACGCCCACCACCAGGGCTTGATTTTCATAGCCACGCCATCATAGTGCTGATTTTCATAGCACGCCCACCGACTAGGCTGATTTTCATAGCACGCCCACACTTAGGCTGATGGTTCGGGGTGAGGCTTCTATTGCACACATGCTTAGAATCTCTGCTGGGACTCATTTAGTGGGTAGAGCTTATTTTTCAGGGAACACGGTAAGACTGTTATTTTGTTCTTCATGGTCAGCCAGCTTGGGGACTCGCTCACTCTACTTCCTTCCACTTAGTGGCCAAAATAATGCCTTGGACGACGGGCTGATAATTGGGTCGTTGCCGGCTGGCACGCTCAATCTTTGTTTCTTAGAGCTGAATAGTACTCCATGGTATACATATACCACATTTTATTAATCCATTCTTGGATTGATGGGCACTTGGGCTGTTTCACCACAGTGATTTTTACTTTATCCTGCCCTTGATAGGCTCTAACCTGTTCTGGGTCCTACCTCAGAGAGGCTCTGGTTTCTGCAGGTTTTTGTTGTTGTTGTTCTTGTTGTTGTTGTTTTTCTGCATCTTATAATATACTCATAATGCCTTGCGGCTAGCAGACAAGCAGTAAGCAAAAGCTAAAAAGAAAATATTTATTGTCTTTATAGCCCAGTATTTCACACCGTCCTCCCGCCCTGTGGCTCCTTTCTTCCCCCAGGTGTTAGTGACCATCTACTGGCTGGGCAAAGCCGCGAACAGCTGCGCGTCCTACAGCGGGAACACGCTGGACCTGAAGGAGTTCGAAGGGTTGCTGGCCCAGATGAGAAAGGTGACTCGCTTCTCTTCCCTAACCCCCCGGCGCGGGGGAGACTGGGCGGGAAAGCAGCACGTCTGCTTGTTGCTGGGATTAATTACTAAGGCCGCCGGCGTGGGGGGCAACTGCACGGGCCGAAGGTGTCGTGCAACGCGAGGATGATCTATCTATATATATACACGCGATCACTTGCCTTACCAGTGGTGTCTCTGCCTGGTGCACCTCACACCCGCCCGAACTTTTAGGCCCTGCGAGAACGGGAGATCTGAGCTCGATGCAACTCTAATTCCAAAGGAGCAGGTCCAACCTTGTCAGTAGATTGCTCCGGGTGCCAGGGAGCTCGGTGCTGGTTTTCTTGGGGTGGTGGTGGGAGAATGATGAGTGAATGAAGCAACGCGGTTATTTGACAGAGAATGACAGCTTGCTCTCTGTGGGTTCGTCCTGAGGGTCGTGCTCCTGAGCTGTCGGGGGCCCTGGTGTGGGGGTGAGGGGGCGGGGGCCAAGCTCTTGCCTTGGCAGCATCTGCCCTGCAGGGGCTCTGGTCAAATGGAAGCACTCCCTGCCCCCCACTGTGTTAGAGTGGCTTGAACATTTGGAGCCCATTTTCTGCGTCATGAAAAACTTTGTGTGTTGATTCGATTGTGGGGAACAATTGACCCAAGGTAGAGATTTGTCAGACAAACAGTGGAGTGTTTCACGGGTAGTGTTTCATGCCCACACGTTCCTAAAACTGGAGTCTTATTTTAAACGGAGACCTGCGAGCATTACCGCCGGCATCTCTCTCGCCTCAGCGCACCCACAGGAAAAGCGTTTCTGCATATTTTTTTTCATTGCCCTTTTAAATATATATATATATTTTTTTACGTTTTCACCAGCACAGACAGCTCCTCTTTCACCGAGCCAGCGCAAGACCCCAGCACACGCAGCAGGAGGGGATCAGCAACGCAGCACTGCTGCGGCCCGCTGCTACGGGAATATTCCAGCCCGGACTCTCGGACTGCAAAAAGCAGCAAATGCCGCGCCGCGGTCCTCTGCCGAGGATAGCGCCCACGGGAAGCTGACGACCACACAATACAGAGATGAGGGAGCTCAGTTCACAAGGGACAGAGAACTGCACACCATAAGGACGCCCGAAGACCATTCAAAGATCTCGGCTTGTCATTGTTTTCAATCTCTGGCTCGCCATTCATCAACACCTCATCAACTTGGGATCCTTTGCTCGACCCTTTGCTCTTTCCTTCCTTCCTTTCTTATTTCTTTTCTTGTCTCTTTTCTTCTTTTCTTTTCTTGTCTCTTTTCTTCTTTTCTTTTCTTCTCTTTTCTTCCTTTCTTTTCTTGTCTCTTTTCTTCTTTTTCCTTTCACTTTCCTCGTTTTCTCTTTTCCTTTTCTTGTCTTTTTTCTTCTTTTCTTTTCTTCACTCATCCTTTCTTCTTTCCTCTTTTCATCTCTTTTCTTCTTCTTCTCTTTCTCTTTTTTTCTCTTTTCTTCTTTTCTCCCTGCTTCCTTACTCTCTTGTTCTTCGCTTTTCTTTCTTCTTTTTCTTTTCTTTTCTTTTCTGTTTTTTCTTCTTTTCTTTTCTCTTTCTTCTCTTATGTCCTCCTTTCTCGTTACCTTCTTTCTTCTTTTGTCTGTTTTCTTTTGTTTCTTCTTTCTTTCTTTCTTTCTTACTCTCTTTTTCTCTTCTTTTCTTCTTTCGTTCTTTTCTCTTTTTTTTCTTGCTCTTTTCTTCTTCTTCTTTTTGTCTTTTCCTCTTCTCTTTTCTTCTTCTTCTTTTCTTCTCTTTTCTTCTTTTCTTTTCTTGTCTCTTTTCTTCTTTTCTTCTCTCTTTTCTTTTCTTTTCCCTTATGCGGTAGAGGAGTTACTTGGGGATTTCTTTTTCTTTTTTTTTAATGTTGTGCGTGATTTTTCTGCATCCAGCGACCAAGTTCGCTGCCAGCAAGCGAGGCATTGAAGAGCAGAGTGGTAACTCCGTGTTGCTGATCGTTGATCTTGTGACTGGTCGCCGGCAACCTCTCTCTCTCTCTCTCTCTTTTTTAAGACAGAGTCTTGCTCTGTTGCCCACGCGCTAGCAGTCGAGTGCCCTGTGTGC